GATACTCCGGCCCAACATTACTATCAATCAAATCAGGTAAACATTCCTCACTTAGTCATGGAATTTTGAAAAATTACACACTTCATGAATTTGATGATTTCACAAAGAGTGGTGTGGATCAAATTGTTAAACCAATGTGTGTTGACGGTTGATGGAGGCCCAGATATCAAAAGGTTATTAAGTTGTTTTGCACACCGTTTTGTATTTCTGTCACCGAAAATTAAATGTTGTCTTAGCAAATCATCTTTCTTAGGAGCTTAATAAGATCCAAAAAAATTGCCTTCATTTAATGTAGCTTTTCCTAAACCTTGGGCTTCACGATGGCCTCAAAACGCCAATCTAAACGCCAATCCCTGTTTTCCCAAATAGGGAACTGCATACTTTTATCTAGTATTACTGTTTTTTCTATTTCCTTTTTTTCCTGATGTTAAAAAGTCACATATAAAGTCTTTATACAAAAGTCGGAATTTCATAATTTTTCAGTTTTTATGTTTTCTTAATTTTGTCAGGACCTTTTACAAAGTTCTTACAGCCCAATTTCGGATCATCCCAAGTGTCTGGCTTGTGTTTAAAAAGCTCACAAGTGTATTATTTCCCGACAACATTTCGTATGGGTTTTTCCTTGTACCAAATGGCACAAGTGCCAATCAGTTAAACTTTTGGGAAAATCCTTAAGTATGTTTGAGGCCTGGTTGACAAGGACCCAACTCAAGAAAAGCACGTAGGCCTGCTAGATCCGGTGTTACGGGTGTTTCACAAAAAAAATATCAGAAAGATTTTCCAGATTTGTATCAATTATAACTATAGCATTAAGTTTTTCAAAGGTCACGCCAGCCCGCGTCTTCCGTGAACAAGTTGTTGATAGTGCTCGGCCATGAAAGCTTTATTTTTTGTAAAGCTGATTGGCTGAATCGGTTACACGTCTGACTTGATGCATGGAGGGCGAGGCGATTTGGTGCCGTGTGGTGGAATGGTAGGTTCGGATCCCGTATGGGTTCTGACTGTTCTATCTTTACCTGGACTATATTCTGTACCTGTCTACCCTTGGCGTTGAAATATCACTTTGTTTACATTGCTATTTAAGTTTTACTGGCAACTTTTCTGTCAATGTGTTCTAAATGGGTGTCTTCTAAAATGTCTATAGACAATGCCTTAATGTCTCGACGACTTGATTCTGCATATGAGATGATGTGGTTGGGTGTATATTTTGTACTTGGGTATCTTGAAACACATTTTAAAAGAACCTCTGGTTGTAAAATGTGAAGTTTTAAAGAAATAGAAATTCACCGAGATCAACTTTTCAAGCTGTTTTTAGCGAACATTTGCGCAAAATTTCTCACGTAGTTTTTGAATTATAGTCATTTTACTGGTACTATTTTGTCAAAAAGTAACAATTTGAGAAAAACGCGTAATTGTGAAAAAATATACTAAATTTGAAAAAAAAAACAACGAGAAGAAGCGAAAACTTCAATAAAAGTCATTTTTAAAACCTCCAAGTTATCCCCCAATGCGGATCATCTCACAACGTTGAGCCTCTCTCCAATTATGTGGATAAGAATAAAACCCTTTGGTGGTTTCTCAATTGACACTGTCGTTGAGAATAAAACCTACTCTCCACAATTAGGACAGCATAAACTATAGGTGAACTGAAGACAAGATTCCAGTCATTTTGTTTTGACGAGAGCTAGTCCAGATCTAGATCTACTTGATCAACGATTTACACTTAGAGAGAAAAAGTATGCCTAGTGCCTCGTAAGTAAATGATAGATCTAGATCTAGATAGACCTAGATCTAGAATCTAATTTTTCAGTAGCACTAGATATAGATCTAGATATCTATTATTAGTAAATAAGTAGGCCTAAAGATCGTAAACAAGATAAAATATTTTTGAATTGGCCTAGCTAAAGTACCTAGATTTAGATCTATCTAGAGCTAGATTCTTGTCATTCTGGATCTAATAAATAAATACGGTTGAGATAGAAAGGTAATTATTTCCGTGGCATATCTGTCCTTGTGGATCTATTCAAATTTAAATCTCTTCTATTTCATATTGTTTGTAGATCTATATCTACAAGCTTAGGTATAAAATTAATAAAGCTACACATTATTCTTAAACTTAAAGGAACATGGCTAAAATTCATTGAGCATTGTTGCATTTACGACTTAAGGCCTAAATAAAATTATTACGTTAGCTTAAGACCTAACTTTTGTGACAGTTTCACTTTTATTTTTTGCCATGGCTTTATTTAAGTCACTTTCATGTGCTGGTAGCTTAAAATAAAACTTGTTTAGGAAGTTTATTTCTTTCTCCCTTTCATAATGTTGCAAATATGAGTAAGACGCGTATTATTAAAATTAAATTTTTGGGGTATTTCTTTTCCATGAACTGTGAAAGCCACAGAATATGGTATCTCAAATTTTGCTTGTAACTCAAAGCGAAATGTTAATCGCTCAACTGCTCGTATTTAAAAAATCTCGTATGGATAGGCACAATGTTGACATACCACTGGATCTACTATGTATTGAAAGAAAACAAAATAATTATAGAATAACAGGCCTATAATATAGGTGTAGTTTCACCCCTGTGCAGGATGCCCAATCGTATTCTGCTCCCGGGCGACTAACGACTACACTTTTTTCATATTGTCATTAATATTTAAATGCAGTAGACAAAAGTTTCCCTACTGTAGGGCGCTCTTTAAAACTCATAGTGTTCGTCTGGAAGCCAGGGGCGCACCGGGTCAAACGACTGCTTGGGCCCAGGGGACTCCTTAGGTACAGGTTGAAAATAAGTAGTTTCATTACCCCTTGTGCACATGGTTCTCTGGGCTCTAACCTGCACAAACGGGGCGCTACCATCCGATAATTAATTTTGGGAAATTATTGAATACACTCTTGGGTATTTTCGACAGTTAAGCTGCACCCCCTAGGTTGTCTTTTCATCGGGGCCCCACTAATTGTAGTCGCGCACATGAATAAATAGTAAAACTGCACTATGTGTGGCATCCGGCGCCTACACTCTTTTTAAAGAGCGCCATTCACTAGGAATACGTAATAGTGAAGTAGAACACACTTCGACGACCGCCCGGGTGTCCGGGACGTAGTGGGGCGCTCTCGGGAGCCCAGGTTATAGTACCGCAGGGGCATCGCGGACGGCCCTTGGCACGGTTTTGTCATCGAATGTCGTGTGCCACAGTCAATATTGTAGAGTGCTCTTTAACACAACCTTATTGCTCATAGGATATCCCAGGGCGCCAAATCGCATTCTGCCGGGGCGCCGGCAAACGTGCCTAATTCCATATAGTCAACGATTATTGTTGCCCATCGTGTCTTTAGTGTATAGCTTTAAAAAAACGAAACTAGGCGCCGTGGTGTTCACAGGGTAGCACGGGGCGCTTCGGGTTACGCAAAATCCGGGGCACCGGAGGCTGCGCATGTTTTTACCGCTGAGTATATTAAGGCCCCTTCCCCGCCATGCAGTACGCTCAAGTTCTAGTATCGCTGCGCTGGAATTATGGGCACCAGGCCGTGTATTAACAAAAATCGCACCCTCCGGGAATCGCTCGGGAGTATTTTCATTAACTCTCCAAAGTTTAACGGCACTCAGATGAACGATGTCAAACAGCATCCGTTTTTTTTTTTAAACCCTGTAGAGAAAAATTGCACCCTCCAGGAGCGCCGCCCTTGTAAAATAAAATAAAAAAAATGTTTTGCTAAAACCTCCCCTGAAGTTTTATGGCGAGCGGATGAACGGAATTTAACCGCAACCTACTTTTACTTATATACCCTATATAGAGAAGAATCGAATCGCGCCATGCAGGGGCACCGTCCTCGTGAAGTATCTCCAGTGGTATTCTTAAGTTGCATGGCGATAGGACTAAAGGTGTAGTACTGCATAAAGGACAAAAACCCACAAACAAACAAGCAAAATTTCATATATATAAAAAGAGAGAAATGTACATAATTCTACATATGCATAGTACATAAATAAATAAATAAATAAATATATATATATATATATATATATATATATATATATATATATATATATATATATATATATATATATATAAACATAAAGTGATATTTCAACGCCAAGGGTAGACAAAGGTACAGAATATAGTCCAAGTAAAGACATGCTATGATAGTGGTCTGCCAAGAAAGCTCTATTTTTGTAGAGCTGATTGGCAGAAGTGGTTACACGTCTGACTTGAGGCATGGAATGCGAGGCGATTTGGTGCCGTGTTGAATGGTAGGTTCGGAACCCGTCGGGTCTGTCTGTTCTGACTTTACTTGGACTATATTCTGTACCTTTGTCTACCCTTGGCGTTGAAATATCACTTTGTTTATATTGCTATTTTAGTTACAACGCCTGCTTCCATGTTTTATATATATATATATATATATATATATATATATATATATATATATAGCTGCATTTGGTCAATTTGTGCACATAATCCACATAATTAATTCATGTGGAAAAAGCATCGTTATCATTGTAAATTATTAGATTTTGTTATCAGCTCCTCTCCGGTCGTCACTTGGCAAATCTGTTATCCAAATACTTAACAAGCATGCATTCACCTGTAAATTTTGCAGTTTGTGTCATCTTCACTCACCCTCACCACCCCTTGGGTGATAGTTTTTAGACGTGCACAGTTAATAGTAGATTTTTATCTGCAGTCAGTTATTAGTACAGCTAACTCTTATTAGTCATTTACTGAACTGGCAAAATGCATACTTCTTCTATATATTTTGCAATTTTTCGCCATGGTGTCACACCCGAAATTTTGCCACCTTGCGCAGTCCGCAGCCCCAACTTGTGACGCCTCTGGGTAGGGTTACTTCTTGAGTACAGTAGTGATGTTAAAAAGAGATCAGAGACAAAGTTTAGGCCTAGACTTAGGGGAAATCACCCCTGCTTTAATTTTACTGGAAATTACAACACAATTCAATACATTTTTGTCCTTTTAAATTTAAATAAAATGAATACAAAGTGATGTTTTCAATTTGTTTATTTCTGAGGTTGAAAGCTTTCTAACAATTTTGTTTTATATCCAAAAAATTTGACCTTCATCAAAACATGTCTGGTTCTGCATCAACGAAGTCTAAGATCATTGCCTCAATCACAGATGACTGAAATATATTTTTATTTGTTGTTTATTTTTAGTTAGTATATTAAAAAAAGGATGATTAAGAGGCGTAGCGAGGGGGGGGGGGTGATACATATGTCCCGGGCGCCGGCCCCGGGGGGGGGGGGGGGGGCGCCAAATTGAAAGTTTGCCTCTGGGCGCCTGAAAGGGTCGCTACGCCTCTGGGATGATTATAGATACTGGTGTCCGATAAAAGACTCTTCCATAAAATAGGTGTGTTGGGTTGTTAGTAATATTGTAATCTCGACTAATTTTATGGTTAGAAAGTAGGGTTAAGCGTATGGTAGGACCAGGGTTGGGGTTAGGGACAGGGTTAGCATCTATATTAGCCAGCCATGTGTATTTAGTTAACTACCAGTAACCTTGTTTAAAGAAGATTCCATTATAGGACAACAGTATAAATATTCTCCCAAAAAAAAAAAAAAAAAACTAAAATACATTGAAGTTTTGACAACAAAACCTTTATACTATACAAGTTATTGATTTAGGTTAGACGGATCCAAAACTAATAAAAGAATCAGTTATGATTGTAATAATATTAATTAACAGTTTACATTCTATTACATGAAATTCTACTACAAAAATAGATTTTAAAAAGATACGTTCCCGTTAAAATTTAATAAGTTAACAATGTTTAATAATTTGTCTATCAAACAAAATCAGAATGACAAAGTCATCAGTATTGGATGTTCTCAGGGCGGCTTGTAGTAAATAGGCTTGGTAAATCTTAAAACCTTTTTAGACATAGAGAGGTACAATAGTCTACATATTTTCCAACTGATATTCAGTGATATGTTATGAATTTGATTCCCATAGATGAAAAACATGTGCCGTTTTTGTTTCTAGGCGTCATTTCGAGATTTAAAAATAACAATTATAATATTTTTACCAATAATGGAATCAAATTAACTATCCGTAGGCCTGGCTATTAATAATATTTTATTAATATTGTAACAACGTTTAGGGGTCATCCATTTATGACGTCCACAATTTTATTTTGGACCACACAAGTCCACATAATTCCCTATTGAATGTCCACACACACGTCACCAAAAGTCACAATTTTTTAACCCCCCTCCCCCCACCCCGTGTGGACGTCATAAATGGATGACCCCTTACAGATTTGAACTGCATACTTCTTTGAAAATAATCAGAATTTAATGTAGGCTATATTTTTCTTTAAGCTTTATACATCTTATAAATTCATCATTGTCATTATTTATGATTTTAAATAACTTAACACTAGCAGAAGTAACTTATCTAGTTTTGTTTAACAGATTTAAGCACAATATTCACATTAAGTTTGAAAATTTTTAGCTGGCAAGTATGTGAATATGAAGTTGGTGACCTACTATTTTTTTCTTTAGTTACATTGCTTATAATACAAACTGTAGAAGAATTACAAATAATTAAAGAAAAGCAGAAAGGATGATGCGATTTAGTATTTCATCATCAAATACCTGTCCACCGCCACTGGTTGGCTTTATTATTTCATTTTCCACTTCCAGGCTTTCTTTATGTGACTAAAACAAAGAAAATTTTTTTTCATATAATTTTAAAAATACCAATAGTCTAGTCATAGCAAAAGAAACAAATTAAAATAAAATTACTATTATTTTAAAATTTTATTTTTAGCATACCTTTTTTGTAGGATTTTCCTTCTTCAACACATTTACATCATCTTTTCTCTTTTTGGGTATATTCTGAGAAAATATTTGCTTTGTAACACAAATATTTTCAACAATCGGTGAGCTTTTCACTTGTAGATGAGCCGTGTCATTATTAAGTTGATGAGCCGTGTCATTATTAAGCCTTGTTTGTTGTAATGCTTCTTCCTGTAACTGTTTATTATTTCAAAGGTGAATCACAGGCAAATAAAGATTTGTTTTTACATAAGTCAGCTTTGAAATTTAATCTTTTATTTTTCAAAACTAAGGGCTATACTCACTGTATCTACTTTTAATAACTGTTTTAATAAGATATTTTGTTAATAGCAAAACTACAATTTTGACTGGCATCTATTCTAATGATAATGAAGTGATTTTGTTGTAATGTTCCAGTTACATTATTAATACAGCAGACAAGGAATGAATATTGGATTTTTAATCAAACTGGATAATTAAGTCATTAAAATACAATGATAACGGGAAGTTTAGTAATGACTAAAAACAAGGAAATAAAACAAATATACCCCCCCAGTGACGGAACTAGAAAAAGGGCCCCCCATATATATATATATATATATATATATATATATATATATATATTCACAAATTACGAACATAGGATACTCACTTCTGGCCTGATCGGGTTTTGAAAAAGAAAATCTTTGTTGTTTTTTTTTTCAAATTAACACAAATTACATCTCACGTGTATTAGTGCATTAGTCTTTTATGAAAATCTCTGTTTGATTTTATTTCTGCCATAATATTTCTGTATCCATAGTCGGTCAAAAGAATACGAAACATCAAAGCTTTGTATATGTAATGGTTTCCCGTGTTATGTTTATTTTTATGTCTTTTTGTATTGTATTATTAATTTTAAATACATTTTTTATACATTGTCATTCTTTGGTGTGTATTTAAAAAAAATAAATATGAGAAGTAATTGTTTTTTAATTGTTTAATACAAATCTATTAAAAGGAGCTCATGATCACCCCTATTTGGCTATTTGAAAAATATGTTATGTTGCATAACTTATAACACGTAAGGCCACGTGGCGAATGCTTTAAGGGTTAATTATTAAAACCATTTCCTAATTTTGAAATTGAACCTATTTCATTGCAAAGTATATTATCATGAGACCAAAAACAAGTGGCACAAAAATATGCTCTTACTCATTTTGGAGCCTAAAAATGTCTTAATCTCATTTATGCCCGCCGAAAATTGTGAAAAGTGTAACTTCATATCTGGCAAGCCGGTTAAAAGTATTTACACTGAGGATTGATGTGTTATGGTTTTCTGTTTGTATTATTTTTGTTTCTTTTGCATTCATATTAATTGTTTTGAAAACATTTCATTTTATAGCTGTGTCATTCTTTAGTATGGTTTATCTAAAAAAAAATTATTAAAGGGAAGATTGAACTTTTTTTGACTAATGTTCTAAAAAAAAATTTTTCTTCTAAGGGGTATGAATTAATTTTTCCCTAACTTAAATGGATTTTCTCATTACTAAAGTATACTCTAGTATAATCAATAGTTTTTGTTACTTACTGTTTTTAATGCTTGTATTTCCTGTTTAAGGCGGATAATCTGATGGTTCTGATTCTGTACAATAACTTTTGCTTCTAAAACTTGTTTTGAAAGTTCTTGATTTTCATTATCTATTAGGTCAGCAGCATTATCTATTTCATGGCTGTTATCATTTCCGTTATTCTGAAAAAAGAACAGTTTTTAAAAAATACTGATTTAACAATACAAATACTTATGCTACAAAAGGGTGGATCTTAGTTTCTCCCACTTATATTTTACAAATATACTTCCAATTAGATATTTATAAAAACAATTATTTAAAGAAAAAACCTGCATCAATGTAATGACAAAGGAATTATGACTTAACAGTGGCGGAACTACAGGGTAAGGGAAGGGGCAGCGAGCTGTAATGAGTAACAGATAAATCAAAATTTTTATTATTCATACATCTTTATTGTATTTAAAAAAAAATAATATAGCTGTGATTGAGTTATTGTATTTTGGTCATTTACCCTTGCTAGTAAGTAAGACGTAACTACATTTGCACTAAGGCAAACTTTCCATGACTTATCTCGCTCCTTTTATGTATAGCTGAATAGTGTCTCCCAAAAATGATATACTAGAGAAATAATACAGTTGAAGGGATAGAGAAAGTGGTCCAACCAAGCTTAATGTAATGAATGTAAAGTTTTCTCACTGTTATAGAATTGCCTTCATTAGTCACTAACTAAAGGTGACTTTTATAACCAATGTTATAAATTGTTATAACTAATTTTTACACCAAAAATTCAAGTCATTAAAAGCAGAACTGTAACTTTGACGAAAAGTTTTAGAAAATTATAATTCTGATTTCTGTGTTATTGATTTATCCTGAATAAGTTTTTACTAGTAATATTAAAAAAATAATAAAGTGTAGGGTTAAAATTAACTCTCCCTCTAACTGTAATTAAACAACAACAGGATGAGGCCAGCTATACATTTTTCTTGTAGGTTATGTTTGAGTTAAAGAGGTGCATATATGATTACTAGATCACCTTGACATAGCCTGTTATTGTTGTGAATATTCTTCACATGTAGATTTGACAAAATAATTTATTGGCCTAGGTATATCACTGAACATTTTTATAAAAATTAAATATAGCACTAAAATATTGTGTAATTTTATCTATTTCATGTAACAGAATTTTTTACATTGGTTTTTGTTTAAAACTTACCTTTTCATTCATGAAAGTTTTTTGAATAATTGGTTTATTCATATGTGAAGACAAAAACAAAACTTTCAAAGCCTTTTTGCATGTTAATTGAATCTGAAATATAATAATGTATAATAAATCATTATCTGATCGATAGCACAATAAATCATAAAATAACGTTAGCCCTCAAAATAAAAGATATTTAAAAACTTCAGATAAAGATTAAAATTCCTTTTTGGTCCTAGTGATGCCATGGGTAGATGAAGTAGAGTTCATATTTCTTGACCTCTGCATATGAAAGAATAGTGTGGACAGCACTATATCCAGCCACCTTTACTTTCCCCAATGTAAATCAGGTACCCATCGATGCTGGGTTGACTCGGGCGTTCTACAGTCACTAAATCTGAACTGAGATTTGAACGTGAGACCTTAGGGCTATCGGACAATTCTCTACCTTTCAACATCACTGTCCCTGATTTCTCACTTACTTATACTAAGCACAAAATTGGTATGTTGCTTTGTTAGAGAAAGTAATAAAAACTTAAATGAAAATTATGAGTTATGTTTAATGGTTTTTCTTTAAGATGATATTTACATCAGAGTAAATTCTGAAGCAATCAAACTTCATTTAACTGATGGATTATTTGCAAATACAATTTTGATAGTATTGCCAACATTTTCTTTTCAAAATGTGCAAGGTTATGAACCAAGTAGTTGATTAATCTAAGTAGCCAATTTAGTCAAACAAAATCTTTAAGGTGATCATACAAGTTTTCAAAACCATAAAAAAGAGTTATTTTATTTCAAGCTTTTTACCTCATATGAAGTATCCAAATGCATCCCACAACTTAATACATTAAGTGCATTATTCATCAATCGGTAATGTGCAATAGCATCTTTTTTATTTTGACCATGAACCGAATTGATTGTAGCACATGCTAAAACTGTAGAATATAGAAGTTTTCTACAATGTTGTTGAGCATACGGAGAAAAAGATGGTGCAGCCGATCTTTGTAATGTTGATGTTGTATCTAATATGCATCGTGCAAGATTCTAAATGACAAAGAGAATTCAAGTTACTTTCACATAAATAACAAATATTTGGCATGCCTCAATCACAATAAATATGACAAACGACATTAAATCTGACTAAATCAAAATTGAAAAAAAAAAAAAATCATGATAAACTATAAAAACTAAACAAAAGTAATGATACATCAACTTCACATGAAGAGGGTATAGGGGATGGGACTTTAGGTCTACGGGGAATTTTTTTTTTTTACCTCAGCAAGAATAAAATCTGCGTTGTCAAGAACAAGTCTGGAAACTGGAATTTAAAAAATACTGGTTACGCTTGTAGCAATTTAATTAACAGATGTCAACAAATAAAAATGTGATAAATCATAGAAGACGTTGGTATTATTTCTGAATTTAAAATTTCATTATAAATATTATAAATTACATAAAAATGTATCAGGAAAACAAAAGGTTTAAAATAATTCTTTTTAAAATATTTAAAGTACATTAAAAAAACGTGGTTGCGGAAAAAGTGGTAGCAATTTTTTGGTCAATCAAAAAAAGGGGGAGTAGGAAAGAATAAAAAGTAATTTCATTACATCTCTTATAAAGGGGATGAGAATTTTCCTGCTTAAATCTATACCATCAACTTCTTAAATGTATCAAAAACTTAAAGAGAACTAACTAGTAATGGTTACTTGTAAATCGTTCACATGTAAATCGATGTAAAATCCAATGTATTCATTTCAAATACTCAAAAAAAAAAACCTTTACAGAAGAATACTGCATAGTAAAACTAAAATTAATTTTTAAAAATTAATATAAAATGAAATAAAAACACTAATGTGAAATAAATACACATTCATTCCTTTTTTCTACAAACTTTTTACTTAAGGATATATGCATTTTATGTGCATTTAATTATTTGTAATTACATGTTCATTTCTAGTAGTAAAAGAATAAGAATAAAGGTAGCAGTTGCAGGCTCATTTACAAGGTTTAGTATACTTCATTTGTATACCAAAGCCTAGTTCTAGTTGTGAGATGTAATTTGTTAGTTATATTTACTGCAATAAACTGTCTTGCCTACAATAACTAGCATTTACGTAATGTATACCTGTAGACTAGTAATAGTCCATACTTCTGCATATAGTATAGATCTATAAGGTAAATTTTAATAAGTAAACAGAAAACAGCAGGTCACTATGGCTATCCTAAACACATTGAGCTCACTTCTATTAATGAACTTTACACTGTAGTGTAGACTTGTCATAACATTCTAGTAGTCTACAATTGTACTAGTATTACTAGTAGTTGTGTGCTGAATGACTAGGCTTTTGTTTACTTAAGCGGCTCATTGGAAGCTTCTGGCAAAAGCATGTTCAGTCCAGCAACCGTTGCTACACCAGAAAGACCACAGACAAGAATGAGGTAGCATGACATGTCGACAACTTTTGCTGTGTTTGAGGTCTAAAATGTGTTCCAATAGAAAATCCAGAAAAATTGTACTCAAAATATACTTTTGTGCTGTATTTATGTGTGAAACTTACAAAAAATGATTGTTATAATGATTGTCATGTTAGTAGTTAATAAATTGTATAGTTTGTTCCTGTTTTGTAAATATATTTTTTTTGGAAAAATTGTCCTACATTCCTGACGGTACTTATAAGTACCAATATATGTTTGGGCCATTAAAAATTTACGAAACGAAATTTCCTTCGACATATGCTTTAATTGCGCCAAAAGCAAAATGATGACACATTGTTTAAGTAAAAATTTCATTCAGAACCTAATTCTGTAAATAAAGGGTTAAGATAATAACTTTTTAATGAGAAAATGTTAAAAAATCTGTTTAAAATACCATTTTTATGACCCTATTAATTAAAAAAAGAATCATTTTTCCCAATCTTACGAACTCTCTACTAAAAGTTTTCTATCTGTCATCACTGGAAAGCTGGATCAACTCTCTGGCAAGAAACAAATAGAAACTGTCGTCTGCTAGCTGATCAAGCAATCTCCACTTTTATTATTGAATTTAGTAATCTTAAAGTTAAATTTTAGTGACTATCTGATGTCTAATTAGAATAAAGATAGATATTCTAACAGTGTCGAAAGAATATTTCTGGTAAGTTTGAATGAAATCACTGAATTAGAAATAGGTTACAAGATTTGTCATAAACAAGCAAATAAACAGATATTGTGAACTAAATAAAAGCTTATTATTATAGAGTCCTTTCATATGACGTCACCTCCGTTCGTGAATTTAAACATCTGCCATCGCAGTGTACAGATCTACATTCAAAATGGTGATCTGTGCGGTGAAAGGTTGTCATACTCGAAGTGGCAGATCTAAAGGGATTCCTTTATTTCGACTGCCAAGGGTCATATTAAACCAAGATGACAGAGATCGACAGTTAACAGATCGTAGATGCCGTCAATTTTTAGCCAATATTTATCGCAGTGCTGTGAGCGAAGCAGCGACAAATAACATGCGAATCTGTTCTCTATACTTTGTTTCAGGTAAGGACAGTAAAATAATAATCATTTTAATTATAAAAGATAACTGTTAATAAGACAAATATGCTCGACATTCACAAATACTAATAGTAAAAGACAAAGTCAAAAGTAATAATAAGAATAATAAGATTTAATAGTAGGCCTAATAATAGTGTTTTAATATCTAGATCTAGAATCTAGCTCTAAACATGGCGTAAACAAAATTCGGACCACAGATATAGATTCTGGATTTAGGGTGACTGGCTCCGCTGGGTAGACATTCTAGAATCTACTTATTTAGGCCTACTTAAATTTAATTACAAAATTTAGATCTACATTTGATTCAAAATACACCCATAATAAATCAAAAGTAGTCATAATAGGCCTAATAAAGCATTTAATTGTCTCTAAGATCTAAAATCTCGCTCTATAATCTAATCATTTTTTTAGCAAACGAAATTTTCTGAAATTGATATAGATTGTTTGACTAGACTTAGATCTAGAATCTGCTACTTAAATTAAATTTTAAAAAGTTTATACAAGCATGTAGTTTATATTATTGTAGTAGAAGGCTTAATAAATTACTAAGGCCTCGGGCCTACCTACTTTGTCTTTTTACAGCAATATGTATCTGATACTGGACTGAGTTTAATTAAATTCAAATGCATATCTAGTAATTGGTCTACTAAGTTTATGTAGCCTAGTAGTAGAATCTAGATCATACCAGCCAACAACAAATAACCACATTATTATTATTTGGTTATTGATTAGGCTATTTTTTTTTTAAATCCACTGTTTATAAAAGAAACAAATCAAGCTAGAAACATTATAAGTGAGATGGTTTAGAATAATAATGGATCCAGTCTACAATTGATACAATTGCAGGTCTACATAGGGCCTACAGTCTAGTAGTTTACAGTAGGCACCTAGTGTGTAGCTAGTATACTAGTGTGTAGCTGTCCAGAGTTAAGATTCTTGGATGTAAAAAGGGACGGTACTAACTAATCTGCCTTAATGCTTTCCCCTGATAAGCCATGTGTGCTATAAATAACATAACATGACATCCAGGTGAGAAATGATGAGGGGAGAGCAGTGGGACTTTCGCCTTTGTTCTCCCTGCTGAGCCCTGAGGGTAAAAAAAAAAAAAAGGGGGGGGGGGGGGGGGGCGGCTGTGTATCACGAAGGTGAGAAATTTTCAGGGGAGGGCAGTGGTACTGACTCCTCTTTGGTTTTATTGGGGGGGGAGTTTGAACAGTGTCATCCCCCCCCCCCCGACAAAAAAAGTCTGGAAGAAACACTGATTGGCTGAGATCTAAGAACAGCAGTGGTAATTACACTTGAATTATATTAGCCGTTGTAGTGTGGGTTTTGTAGGAGTTAAGTGGTCTCACGTTTGCTACAGTAGTGTGGTTGTACTAAATCTATTGCTTCTAAATCTTGTACTTAACAGAGAATCTAGAATCTACATTAACCAGATCTAGATAACCTATAATATATTACTGCATTTGATCAGATTCGTCTACTTAAACTCTAAACGCAAACAGTATTACTAACAGTATTTTTATTTAGAAATTTCGGCCACACATTTATATTATCCACAAAACTGTCAATAACAGTATAAGGATCTTCAATTCCTAAGAGTTCAAGTTTTTTAACGTATTTTTCCTTTTCCGCGGGTGCGGTTCTTTACTTACAGTAAATTAAAAAGTAGTGTATTATTATAAAATTAAAGAAAACCATTTATTTTCTCCCATTTGGTACATTACATAAAAAGGATTAAAACTTGTTTTATGCAATTTTTTTTTCACTAAGCCTTACTTTTAAAATGTGTATTTACAATAGAGTTGCATGAATAAAACAGAGGAAGCAAATAAAATAAAAACTTGTAAAAACAATACCTTCCAGTGCAGCAACGGTTGACTTTAATTCAGAAAGACTATGGTCTTTTATACTATTTTCTATCTCCTTCTGATTAATATTTAATAAGTTGCTGTAAGAATTAGTAGTAGATTTCTTATTTTCAAAGTTTGCACTGATCTGTTTCTCTTCCTAAAAAAAAAATCATTAGATGTAGATGATGAAAACTAGTGGTAACTTTTGAAATGAAACAAAGGTTTTGGTGCCATATCTATTATATATAAAGCAATGTATGTGTGTTTATTTGTCTGTCTGTCTTTTATGCATTACTGAACCTTTCATCCAATCACCATGAAACTTTGGGAAGTTGTTGAGAATACCTCCTGGAAAGGTATATTTGAAAAAATTTCGAAGGGGTGGCACAGAATAGGATTAGATTATTCTCTATTTACAATATATAAAAACAAAACTTGATTGCGGTTTGACACTGTTTATCTGATCGCTATTAAACATTGAAAAGTTGATTAGAATACTCTAGGTGAGGTTTCTGAAAAAAAAAATCTTTTTTAATTTCACAAGGGGAGGCACCCCGGGAGGGGGCGATTCTCTTTATATATGGTATATAAAAAATAAAAGTCGGATGCTGTTCGAAACTGTTCATCAGAGTGCCATTAAACTTTAGTGAGTTGATGAGAATACTCCTGAGAAGGTTTCTGCGAAAATAAATTTTTATGGGCAGCTATTTTTGTCAATACACAGTTTGGCGCGCAGTTCAAGAGCGGCTATTGTAACACTTGGTATCCATTAATCGGGCGTCCTGCATAGCGGGTAAGGGGTACTACTGTATTCAGCGTTAAAACTTCAACTGCAAACTGAGCCAAGGGTCATACCCGGCACCCCTGGAGTAGTGTAACTAGGGGCTCCCAAGAGCGCCCCTCTTCGGTTCCCAAAGTGTGTTCTAACTCACTAGTATGGAGTGTGATTAACGTATACTCAATGCTTTCATTCACCATGTTTTGGGCCTGCTAGGCAGTAGTGGAGGTAAACACGTACCCTGAAGTATGATCCAAAAAAATATAGCATTGTTTACATTCAAATAATTCTAAAAATATAGGATTGGTAATGCATTGATGAAACCCCTAAAATATTTTGTGACTTTCTTCTAAACCCACAGCAAAGGACGGGCACCCTAGTAGGTTTATAAAAGAAGATCTTATAGTTTTGTTAACTTTTTGATGCTAGACACTTACTACAGAGTCACTTGTTAAATTAATGCTTTGTAAAGTTTTTTAATACAACTAAAATATATTATTCATTTACTTCATGTTTTGGAAAAATTGTTTTTTTTTAATTTTGAGATTTAATTTTAACAAAAAAGTGCATGTGTCAGTATTTATTTAAAGTTCTTTTGCAGATACTTCCACTATTTTTAACAATATAAAATTTAATAACTGAAGTGTCCTTTTGTATAACAATAGTTTTGAGCTGTTTATGTATAAAATAATTGTTGTGACACAATAAAATAAATTAATATTTTAATATGAATTTATTTTTATTGGTGAAGGGTGTCTAGCTATTAGTTTCTCGGCTATTCATGAAAACAAGTCTTTCACTGGTAAAAGATAAATTAAGAATGTTTCTCAGTATTACACTATTGAAAAAGGGACACAAAGATGTAGACATACATTGGGAAGATTATTCCACTTTTAAATTAATCTCTCAACAGCCTCATGGTTTTCCAAAAACAAAAGTATTCATTGTTTTTAACAGGTTACCATAAAATAAACAGTGCAAAATAACAATACCTTTTCCAATGTGTCTACGAATTTGATGTCCAAAATCAATTGATTATAAAGAAAATTATACTGGTTTATCAAAAACTGTCCCCAGCCAAACATTTCAATCAACAGTTTAAGAACATTGTAGGTACTTGTTCTAATGATGCTGAAAAATAGTAATAAATAAATTGATAATATACTTAAAAACAAAATTCCCTCTTCTTTTGTCACAAAGTGAATCTGTTTCACTCACTTTCTTATCTCCACAGGTTTACGAGATAGGTTATGAATTCAAATGTAATGAACTCAGGAAATGTAAGGGACAAAAGCATGCTATTGATCCATGAAAACAATTATGATCTGATTCATCTCAGTCAATTATCATTTCTCAGGTTAAAAAATTAAAAAAAAAAACATCACAAATTTAGTTAACTAAAGATTGTTCAACCATAGTAACAATTGAAAAATTGTCTTTTACATTTTTAAATAACCATACAATATTAATACATTAGGAACGTCACTTTCCTACATTTGACTAATAAATTTAAAAAATGTCCTTACTTTTTAATTTTAGTCTTCATGTAAGTTGTATTGATTAATACTTGTAAACAAAGGTCTGTTATTAAAGGAACTTGAGGGAGCAGATGGGTGCCACAACTGTTTGTAAAAAAATATAGAAGAACAGAGTTAGTCTAGCATTTCTGCTTGTTTGGGTTCCATATCTTGTCATGATGACTAGACACACGATCTCAGACAAAACATGTAGAAGACAAAGGATCTCAAAAGAAAAAAATGAGGTGCCCCCTTTGAAATGGGAGAAAGGTTCTAAGTGAGAAAAAAACCGCTCCTTAGGAACAACATAACATCAAACAATCAAATAAAAAGAAAAAAAACCTTTGACTTTTTACGATAGCTAAACATAAATTAGTGATTCTTTTCTTTTTTGTTCTTAATTGTAATGTAGGAAGGGATTTCCTCCAACACAAGTATTACATGTCAGCATATAGGCAGTTGGGTGACTGCTATTTTAGCCAGCTTTTGTTTTAGAATTTAATTCCATACCCATTGTCTATTCAAGAACTGGAAAGCACTAGTTGGAGTTTCCTCTCCTAGATGGGTTTCTTTCCCCAGCTATCAAGCCTCCTCTGGGACTTTTTGGTTTAGCAACCACTTACTTTACCGACATGACCACACCAGATGCTAGTGATTATTTGATTAGTGATCAATATCATCAGGCAGGTATTGAGGTGGAACCCACAAGGTTAGCACAAAAGATGTTGACAAAAAACACCTGGCAATGGGACCTTGAAACTGAAAAGATGGGTTACACCTGGTGCCAGGTGAGAAAATGGTATGGACAGAGATCTTTGAAATGACAGCAGTCATTGCAATGCCAAGTTATGTGTAGTGTGTATGAAAACAAAGCAGTACTAATTGTGATTAACTAGCTGTGGCAATAAAAAAAAGTATACAGAAGCAGATGATCAAATCCCTTTTCTTAAAATTTCACTTCTCATTACCAATTTATTTTTTCAATTTTTAAAATAAGTTGCCATTTAAAAAATTTGGTTTAATATTAAAATTTAACACATTTAACATTCAATTAAAAATGTTCACTACTCATATCTTTCTAATTACTACAGGTAAAGGTATTTTGTCTGTGGTATCTTGTCCTTAAATATTTTGTCTTTGTTTCATTAGTTATGGAACCCTTTCACATTAATTCGATTAAACACTGAGTAAGTCACTGATGAAGATATTGGATGTTGTGGAGAAGTGATTTAAAATCATGCTTTAGAATATGTGTGTCTATCTGTGAATGACATTGTTATTTCAAATGATTTCTTGGAATTATTTTTGTCAGTAGCTATGAATCTGTTAAAAGAGGTTCATTTTAAAAAATAAAACAAAACAACCCAAAGCACATTAAGGTCAAGTTAGTGATGCCAAGATATAGGATTGCAAGAAACCATGTTTTCTTCTAATTTTCAGGTTGTAGAAAACACAAATTCTGACTTAAAGGACATGTTTCAAAATGGTGACCCTTAAAATTACATACATGCACTCCTGGGTAAGAGTTTTCAATCTATAAGTTATCTAGTTTTTTAATACTGGTTTTACATATTGCAAGGTAACAGCTTAAAACTTTTAAGAATCCAGAGGATCTTTGGAGTGTTTCATTTCAATACCTAGAGACCAACTGTCATCATGCATAACCTTACAGAAAAGGTTTCTATGACATGGATCACATTAGTGATACTAGGAATGACAATGCTATGTGTTAATTAAATGAGATGCAGCTAATGCAAAAATATCTGCTGAATATTCTACTGAATTGTATGTATTACACCCCTTACGATAAATGATTGTTTCAATAAATAGCTGGTGGTAGCAGTAGTTCCATCTTTGTAATACTATAAGATGCAAAAATGGAGTGCAAAAAACATTTTCTCTTCAGATACTTGTTTATATTATTCTCAATCTATTGCAAATTAAAATTCATGCAAATATTTTTAAAAATTCATATTTAGAATTTTCTTCTCATATTACCAAATAATCAGTTGGTTAACTAGATGAAGCATTGCTTGGTATATTGCAGGTAGGGCTTCTGATAAAACACAGCAAAAAGGCAAAGTTTTCTGAAACAATGGAAAAAAAGTAGCAATAAACAGTAACATATTAAAAAGATGTGTGAATTATTATGAAGATTTTAGGCTACTTAGAGATTTTCATATTAAAAAAAAAAGAAGACAGGGATGGTTAGGTCATCTAAAAACAATGCCAAACAACAGAGGGTGAAAGTGGCAAATTAGCAAAACACAAAGGGAAAAGAGTAAAGTAAGGCAAGACAATGCAAAAATGAATTTATGATGTGGATACAGTCCTACTGCAGTCCAGAAGTAGAAAAAAAAAACATCTGACAAAGTGGTGCAGCAGACTAAGCCCTCTACAGTCTGTGGAGCTACAGGGGTGGAAACATTTTATAATAACACTTTAAGTAAAGTGTAAAAAAAAACCCAACTAGTAATTAGTAACAAGTACTTACAGAAGCAGGATATGACAATTTAAGCCCACGAGAAATTAGATTGAAAACTGACCCAACAGGCAGCTTGATTATGCCATGAGATGGTTGCCTAAAATATAAAGAGTGTTAATCAGCACTAAATATAAATAGGAAAGGTCTTAGTGTTTTTTTTAAATTATGGATTTCATTTTTACAAGCTTTTAAGTCGTTCGCAACGTCTACTTATTTGTTTGTGGCAGATCTTGTCAATTTTGACCCACTTTTAATGCAGCGATTTCATTCAAACTTTCCAGATACATTCCATTTTAATGACAATAAAAGTCTATCAATTTTTTAATTTAATTAGTTATTTAATTAGTCATTAAAAATTAATTTAAATGGTTTTGAAAGACATCTGACAAAGTGGTGCAGCAGACTAAGCCCTCTACGGTCTGTGGAGCTACAGGGGTGGAAACATTTTATATACTTTATATACTTCTATACTTTAAGTAAAGTGTAAAAAAAAAACCCAACTAGTAATTAGTAACAAGTACTTACAGAAGCAGGATATGACAATTTTTTAATTTAATTAGTTGTTTAATTAGTCATTAAAAAGTAATTTAAATGGTTTTGAAACTAAGGGGGGATAACAAAATCAAATCACTCAATAGATTACTATATTCAACTAGCGTACCCGTCCCCGCGCCTTGCTGCGGGGATATAAGAAAGTCTTATGAAATATATAAGAAGGGTTTCATCAATGCATTACCAATCCTATGTTCTAAGACGCGTGACCTTGTTTTCTAAAACTGAGTTATTTAAATGTAAACAATGCCTACGCTTGGATCATAAATATAGGGACATGGGTTTACCTACAATACCAACACTACCGCATGAAAACCTTACGTCAATCACTCACCAAAATAATGAAGTAGAACACACTTCTGTGACTGCCCATGTGTGAGGGACGTAGAGTGGTGCTCTCGGGAGCCCCTGATTACACGAATGCAGAGGCCCTGCGTACGGCCCCTGGCTACAACTAACATAGGTGCCTTAGTGCTCACAGAATAACCCAGAACGCCAAATAGCATCCAAAAACAATGATGCAAATTTTGTCAATCATTCAGTGACACAAATCAACCGGATTTTTTCTTTAACATGTAGAAAAATGAATATTTGACGTGTTATAAACATCAGTGTGGCTGATGCAATTTGTTAGCTCTGATTGGATAGTTTAAAAATAGATGCTAGTTGCATCATCCGCAAAAATTCAGTGTCAGCATGATAAGAGAAAATGAGCACAAATAATTTTTTACACACTTGGAACATAATTTAGGCATTAAGGGGTTAATAGCAACAAGCTTTTAAATGCACTGAAAAAAATATAACTTATTTGCTTTCTTTAAAAAAGCTTTGGTCTCTCATGTAAATTATTTTTATTTTCTTATTTTCAGTGATTTTAAAAGCTTGTTGCTATAAAGGTTTTTTTATATTTGTTTTATATAGTTATACACTTATGTACATATAATTACATGTATGTATATATATATATAAACATAAATCTATATATGTATATACACAAACATATAATATGTACATACTACCTTAACTGTCAAGCAGATTGCTGCAATCTCAGATCAAAAGAAATTCAAGGACACTAGTTATGCAATTCTTACCAATGATGTATTTTTAGATAAATGACCTAATAATCTTAACTAACGTTGTATCAACAACAGATGCATACGCATCAGATAATAAAACCGGGAGTGATCTCCCCTAAACTTTCTTGAATATTTTTATATAACACTACGGGAGATGGCACATCACGATATAGTTAGGTTTTTAATCTTTTGAGGTGAAAAACATCAAGATTTGCAAAAATCTCAATTTTTTTTTTTTTGCATGATTACAATACTTTCTCTATACTTCTTATATACGAGAAAGTAAAAAAAAATGGGAAAGGCTGAGGTAGAACACCCTTCGTTGCTTGCACTGGTGTCATTGGCATCAGGAGGTGCAATCATAAGCCAAGAAGAAACATTGTGGGATTGATCACTCCAGTGGGTCGGCAACCTTTCGAAACGGAAGAGTTGCAATTTATAAAATTTTCCAGTTTTTAAGGGCATAGGCAGGTGATGAGTACAAACCTCCTTATTTCTGAGTCTAAAGATATATTTGGCTAATAGTTATAACTCAAAGGGTTAAGCATAAAAATATCTTAAATTTTTTTTTGCCATGGTGATGGTGGCCATATTGGATTTTATTGCCGATTTTTAAATGGGAATAACTCAACTTTGTACAAATTTTGTGAAAACTTAATATAAGATGGAGACATGTGTTTAAGACTTCTGATAGAGTACATTTTCAAAAATGAAGATCATTTTTTTTTTACTTTTTTTCCATACATCACTGTAAAATTTTCATTATTTCGTCAATTTTTTTCACTATTTCAACAATGATAAAAATTTTTTTCCAAAATTGTTTTATCAGTTTTATTTGAGCATATATATAGCGTAACTGGAGGAAATTTAGTTCAGTTCTCATAAATATTAACAAAGTTATTTTAACAATGGTACAAAAAAACATCAAATTGAGAAAAACGCAAAAAAAGCAACCAACAAAAAGCTGCACAAAATGAACATTTCCCGCTGTATGTCACTAAAATTGACCACATTCATAGCCAGAAGTATGGTGCTGCTGAATTAATTCATTCAGAGCTTGTTCAGCTGCTAGTTTCCTATTTTTTTTTTTGGCACTCTTTGCTTTTACCTAAGCTGAAGTCAGGCTGTTGTAAAGGCGTCTTTTTTGGCGTCCTCCACTTATTCTTCGACTATGGTTTCCTTCTATTGACAGCAGTGCCATAGCATGCATGGGCCCAAAATTGAATTCTGCTATCGCAGAAACAGCAGCATATGTTGTGAGGTCCCATGTCTAAAGCCAATGATGCTAAAATGATGTCTTTGTTTTTTGTGAATTGCCTTGTTCTGGATTCTTTTGCAGTTGTATGCTTACTGTTTACAACATGTTTACAACTGCTACACCAAGCTTGAAGCAAACTTTTTCTCATCAATATTAGCCACTATATCACAGTACACTCTGGGCAAGGAAATTTATTGATAAAATCAAGAAGCAAATAACCACCAACAATAATTCTGCATGGCTGTGGTTTACAATCAGCATTATCAGTACTAGATGTAGCATTGCTTTCTTCTGTCTGTGAAAACTGTGTCTTACATTGCATCAGTGCTTGTCTGAATAGTGCTAGATTGAGTAGAGGTAGCTGCAATCAGTTGCATTCAGATGTGCCTTGTTTTAGACTTTAGTTAGATGTGTGTATCTATTTTTAGCAGGAGTTTGGTTCTACCCATAATCGACAAACAAATTTAATCCTCTCACTGCTTGTGATAATTTACACAAATTAATCTAAACTGTTAATAGTATATTTAATTGAAATGAATATACGTTAAAATAGTGTAAGTATTTCACAGACTGACACAGACGCTTACAGAAACAAAATTAAACCAAATCAAACATCGCAAGCGCTGAAACTTAGGGAATGTTTACTAGCTAAGTGAAACGACCAATCGCTAACTAGCTTCCGCCGTTGAATGCCAATTAAAAAATTGAGGATGATTAAAGAGCCACCAACATTTTTTTTTCAATATTTGGTATATGATTAGGTGAATAAATTCAAAATAAATAGGTTTAGTCCCCTAAGTATGAAATAATATTTATTTCTCACAAAACATATGAAAGTATTTTAGCTATCTCTGCTAGTATAAAAAAAAAAAAAAAAAAATATAGCTATGGCGCTATCCCTAGCCAATTGAGAAGCTAATAACTAAAAAACAACGTCACTCGGGTCAAATTTATGAATGCTGATATATAAAGAAATGCATTCTGAATAAAATAACATTCACTATTGAAAGATATTTGAATACAAAGTGTGAACATCGGTAGTGGAAAGCATGGAACCATTGCCACGAGGCTGACCACAGCAGTTTTTATGCTTGGTGCCCAAGCAGCTGTCAGCTATCTGTATACGCTCTACTTAGTGTTTTTATCTTGTTTGCAGGAGTTTCTCTCTTACAGTATAACATTTGTTATGAGTTTTGAAAATGAAATAAAATAATTATTACGAGCCGACCCGCTGCTTATCATACGCCGCTATTAAGTTGTTTTATTTTCTACGTTTCAGTAATTTATAATTTGTGAATTCGACAGTACCAATGCTGCCACTGAAAATATTTCCTTATAAACACTAAACACCCCTTCCCCCCCCCCCCCCCACGTGAAAGCAGCCTCCTCTTAGTTACCTCCTCTAAGTTTAAAATCGTTTCAAACTAAAGTATCTGCCCCTAATAGCCGTCACCAAACCCGTCTCTATGATTGTAAAATCTAAACAGCGTGAACCACAACTCACCAGACCGTGTGAGGGGGTGGGGGGGGGGGTAGCTTGCAGCTTGTTTTCTAACGGCTCGAAGAAGAGAATTATATATATAGATTTGTGCTTGGAACTGGAGAGCTGCATTTTTAATTCAAATGTGCTGACCCCTGCGCTATGCCTCTCCCATGAGCACCATGGCTTCTACATTCATTTTAATGGCGCAGACATTAGGGACACAGTGAGTTAATAAAATGATGACAAAAAAATAAGTTGCTTCACAGCAGCCGGGTACAGTAAAAAAGAAAATGCTATTCTAGCCTTTAGTGCTTCAAGATATAATTAGTAATGAAGCTTCTGATTCCAATAAAGTCAACAGTAAAGATATTGTGTTTTATGTATTTAAGCATTCATTTTTTGACTGTCTATTAGTACTATTACCTAAGACTTTTCCAATCTGGACATTTCACACATGGCCTGAGCAGTTCTTACCATCTATATATATAAAAATGAAACTTTAGGAAGTTAAGAATGCTCCCAGGAAGGTTTCTGAGAAAAAACATTTATTTTAGAGGGGCGACACTCCAGCAGGCTATAATTTGGTGCACAGGGCTCCCACTTGGGCACTATGGCCCCTATTATTTCCAGAGTGCAATCCACTATGGATTGGATAGGCTATTATAATCAGTCACTAAATCAAATAATTTGCTTCTTCCAGCAACTTGCGATTGGGTGCGGGGTTTTCCTTGTGAGCACTTTGACACCTACGTTCATTTTAAAGAGTGCGATATACTAAGGATACGATGGCCTGTTGTAAACGTTCACAAAATTGAATAAGGCACGTCCCTGACATCTCGGCAGGGTGTGATTAGGCGCCCTGGGGCTCCCCAGTGAGCACTAGGGGCCTAAGGTCACAGGGGTGAGTTCTAACTCACTATTACGGAGGATGATTAATACCCTGGGGTGTCTGGGCGCAATATTAACTAAGATCCAAGAAATATATTGCTGGCATTGTTTACATTTAAATAACACATTAAAAAATGCACTATTATTATTATTAAAGCACTTATGAAATCTTCTTAACATATTGTGTGAGCCCAAAGTAACATACGAAAGGGTTTTATTATTTCTTTATAATACCTAGTAATGCCTAGGAATAGAACAATGCAGATATTGCATAACCTTGCCTTATAATGAAAGGGACTATACATTGCCTAGGTATTTTACAGAATGCCAGGGTTTCATACATATTGTAAAAGCTATCAATTGTTCACCTGATAATTGTAATTAGAGCTAAACAATTATGAACTGCTGTCTGCGTTACAGCTTTCAGTGAAGCATCTGTTTCTGGATTATCATCTGGATTTGTGTTGGGTGCTGTAGCATTTTCTTCTGCATCCAAAGAATGTATATTTTAAATTAATCAAAAAGTGTAAAACAATCTGATCACTATAGCTCATTAAATCTTCATATTTAGTTTACTGAAATATTCATTTTTATTCTAAAAATGTTTTATTGTAGAATTTGTATATGGTTGAGATCAAACACTTGTACTAAAACACTTGCCTGTTTCCACTAGACTGGATAAAGTAAGCAGAGATTTTTCAGCTGCATGCAATGCAATGTCAAAGTTATGGGCCCAAACATCAGTCTTTTTACTTTTTAACCTTTTGCTACCCCACACAAATGGAGTATCAAGCACAGCAGACATTCTTGTGTTGTTCCTAACAAAATTATAAAAAGCATTTTAGTTTAATCATATAATACAAAGTAAATTAAACTGTCAGATTTGTTTTTGATATTTCTTTTCTCTCTTCTGAACTGAAGTGGGCTGCTACTAGAAATACAGTGGACTGCTAACCAGGGGTGGCACCTTTTCTCATGGATTGAATGGGAGGGTGCGATTTTTCTCTATATACAGTATATAAAAATAAAAGTCGATTGTGGTATGACAACTTTCATCCGATCGCCATGAAACTTTGGGAAGTTGTTGAGAATACTCCTAGTGAGGTTTCTGCAGAAATTTTCTCAAAATACGGTATGTAAAAATAAAAGTTGATTGCGGTTTCACACAGTTCATCTGGTCGCCATCAAACACTGTGGAGTTGATTAGAACACTCCAGGTAAGGTTTCAGTAAAACATCTTTCTTAATTTTGCAAGGGAGTCGCCCCGGGAGGGTGCGATTTTTCTCTATATGCAGTATATTAAAATAAAAGTTGATTGCGGTTCGACACCATCCGATTGCCATGAAACTTTGGGGAGTTGATTAGAACACTCCAGGTGAGACTTCTATAAAAACATTTTTTTTTAATTTTGAAAGGGCGACGCCCCAGGAGGTTACGATTTTTTCTATATATGATGTATTAAAAAATGTCGGATGCGGTTCAACATGGTTTATCTGAGTGCTATAAAAGGTATCAGGGAGGGGGGGTGCGTTTGTCGTTCTGGTCTTTCCCATGAGTGCTATGGTGACTACGTTCATTCTAAACAGTGGGATAGACAATGGAAAAGATGGGGCGCTACCGTCACTCACTAAATTAAATCAGGCGTGTACGGCGGCGGCCTGGTAGGGTGCGATTAGGCTGCGAACAAATAATTCAGTTTATGCCCCGAAAGGCTCACATGGGCCGCTGAGGGCCCTGTAACAGAAAAATTAACCAAGGTTAGATTATTAACTGGGTTGTTTCCTTTTATACGTAAAAAAACCCAATTTTGTCACTTTACAAATGATACAATTAGCATCTATTTTTAGATGATCCAATCAGAAATTAAGATTGAGCTTCTAATAATACATCATTAGTAATACTAACAAATCGCATCATTCACACTGATGTTTATAACACGTCAAATAAATTTTTTCTATATGTTAATAAAGAATCCTGTTGATTTGTGTAACTTTAACGAATGATGCAATCTGCATCTTTGTTTCAGGATTTGGCGCTCTGGGTTATCCTATGGTGCCTATGTTAGTTTTAAGGAGCCAGGCGCCTATGCGGAAGTGTAATGGGGGGGGGGGGGGGGGGGGGCTCTCCTGAGAGCGCCCCTCTATGTCCCGGACACATGGGCGGTCTGCGAAGTGTGTTACCTCATTATTTCTGTGAGTGTAGGTAAGCCTGTGTCCCGATATTTATGATTCAAGCGCAGGCATTGTTTATATTTAAATAACTCGGTTTAAGAAAACAAAGTCAGGCGTCTAAGAATATGATTGGTAATGCATTGATGAAACCCTTCTTATATATTTCGACAGACTTTCTTCTATTTCCGCGGCAACGCGCGGGGATGGGTACGCTAGCATATATATATATATATAATTGAAAGTAAGTTTGTCAGTGGGTTTGTCTTTATGAATAACTAATCCTTGATACATAGATTATTAGATGGTGATTAACATATACAAGGCGTTCATACAGCAGGAACGTCTGGGTAGAAGCTACAACAAACAAGACGTCTGCAGTAACATATTACTAGCATCTCAGTAAAATACTCTAAAGATGAGTTAGCTAAGCATTAATTTTTCCCTCCTGAAAATAATTACTGATACTTTTATAACGTAGATGAAGCAGATCTTAAGTACCTAGAATTTCCTGGATTTTAACAGGATTAATAAAATATGTGTCCTTTGTATGAAAGGTTTTCTTATGTTTTAGTTAAAAAAGCTGGGTTAACTATGAGTAGTGTGAAATGAAAAATACTGTTTGTAATAATTTGTTCTGTTTTGGACCAGCACATACAATGACTTTTGAGAATTAGTGCTGTATATTAGAAAAATTCCTCGATAAAAGCTTCAAAACAGCATTTAAATTTAAAATACTATCATTGATAAAGTCCAGACTTTTATGAAAAGGCTGCCTCAGACGAATATTCAGGATCTTGCCGTTGAAGAAAAAATTAGAAAAAGAAGATGGAGTTGGATATGGTACACTCTGCACAGACCGCCAAGGCATGCAGTGAGGTGTACCCTAGAGAAAATGGCACAGGACAGAGGACTCTGAAGATCTTTGGTTGGTGGCCCATATCCCTGCAGGTGTGATGGGCAGTGATGATGGTACAGAAAAATTGCTGTAGACAAAGCATTTTAAATGCATGTTTGACAACAAAACACTTCAGGCTTTAAATCTGTTTGATTTTAGCAATTTTAAAATGTTTATGTCATTTTTCTGTTTAAAACTATTTTACAAAAACCTCATTTGGTTCAAAATAGTTTCTTGAATTATTTTTTACCTTCATTGTACGTTGTGAGTGGAATCCACCCACATTTTCATAAATATCTGCCCCAAGAAATGCCGTTTTCTCTGTCATACAAAAGCAAACAAGTCAAGCATGGCATCAACATCTTTATCGGCATGTGATACATACACGTCTTATTACAAAATGTTGTTTAATGATATAGTTTTATAGTCATCACAACGATTTTTATAAACAGGTTGGGCCATTTTGGCATGAATTTTGTATAGAGATTACAAGGCAGATTATAAAGCAAGTCGCTGAAAAATGTGATGGAACAGTTTAACAAATGATTTACATACATTAGTGAAGAATATGCTGCACCCCAGCTACAACAACACTGCATTTACATAATGCACCTGTGGTGCACTGTCAAAACGGCCCAGGACAAATCGGGACCAATTTGTCAATTAATATGACCCCGACAAAACGACCCAGTCAAAATAACCCAGTCAAAAGGGCCTGACTTATTGGCTTCCGTCATATTGACTCTCAACATATAGGCACCCGACAAATGGGCTCCCGACACATAGTTTCAGGACATATAGGCTCCTGACAAAGCGGTTCCAGATATATTGGCTAAGTGTTTTAATTGTTGAATGTAATTTAGATTTAAATGATCTAGATCTAGTTGAAATGCAAAATCCATTCACAAAACTGTTGTGAGTGGACAACAACATTAAATACAATCTAGTCAGATATTTATGGCAACAATTTTTTTTCTTATTACTTCTAGTCCTGGGTTTTAAATGGGGGACTAATGAAAAGATACGTTTGAGTACCCATAAATAAAAGCAGTAGGTCTACCTAACAGATTCATTCACTGTAAGCCTTAATCTGCAGAGCAGGGAAGCTGATGGTAAAAATCCTGATCACGTGAAATAATAGTCCATTAACAGATGGCCGCTGTTAATATAGCAAATCTAGCTCGCAAACACATCTATTTGAAGTTAATTTCTAGCCTAATTTGATATATTCATTATTTAGTAGTCACTGCTTTTGGTTTTCTATATTTTATTTTAAAAATAGACAATAATATATCACAATATAGGCTACTAACTTGTATTAAAGCCATAATATTGAGTCACCTTTTTTCCACATTACTAGCCTCTGCCAAATTTTACGTACCTGATAGTCTGTGATAGATCATTACCAAGAAGATCTAGAATCCCAGATTCAAGTGTTTTTTTAGGCCTATAGTTTTAGTAGGCTAACTAAAACCATAATCTTTTGTTTAAACTACATAAAATTAGGCGAGATTAGTATTTTGAATAAACCGGGAGTGATCTTCCCTAAACTTTCTCGAATATTCTTATATAAGACTACAGGGGATGGCAACTCAGGATATAGACATGATTTTTATCGATGTTTAATTATTTAAACTTTTTAAAACAGAATAGAATCTCATAGAAAAAAAAAGAATAGCGCACCAAGTGAATAGCAAACAATATGTGTATAATAGTGCGGAATATTATTAGTGCTTTATAAATTCATTTCGTTTTTTGAGAAATCAGAAATAGCGTAAATTACTACTTCCAGTCGACAGAAATTACTCAAAATTTGACAGAAGGCAGAAAATTAGATCTTTTACTAATATATGTGAAATTTTGTTTATCTATTTGAAACAGTACTCAAGTTATAGGCTTTTAAAAAACTAAAAGTAGATTAAGTCTCACTTCCGGTTATTGGAAATAGCTGAAAGGTAGAACTACAAATTCGATACAATACTTATATATGAAATTTCATCAACCTAGCTGTAATGGTACTCAAGTTATCATGTTTACAGACACACAAACACTGACATACGACAAAACTGCAAAACTATGTTTTTCCAACTCAGGAAGATGTAAAATGTCGAGGTTTATGAAAATCTTGATTTTGATTCTTTGCATGATTACAATACTTTCTCTATACTTTATATACAAGGAAGTAAGAAAGCTGAAAGCTGACTAAATTTTAGCACTTATTTCACATATTTAGGAGGATTTATGTTTTGAAAGTTACAAAAAAATTTCAAAGATTCATTTGTGTACCTGTTTTTAAACAATCGTATTAAGTCTGTATTATACCTTTTCAGTAATAAATTAAGACTAGCGATGTTTTCATCAGATGCAATAACTTAATTACTTAATTTAGCAGCCACCTTATAATATTAAAAAGATTTTTTTGGCAAAATTATAGTTAGAGATTCAGGGGAAACCACTCTAATTAAAAGGCGGCAGCTGTTTATATAGTGTATAGCAAATCTTACTTGCAAACACTGCTGTTTAAAGGTAATATCTGGCCTATATACTGTATTGGGTAATCTATCATTTTAGGTACATAAAATCGCCCGAGACTAGTAATGTGAAAAAAGGAGACTAATTAAATTTTAGTAATAACTATTTCACATATTAAGGAGGATTTATGCTTTGAAAGTTACAAAAATGTTTCAAAGATTCATTCATGTACCTTTTTTTAAACAATTGTATTAAAACTTTTAAGTAATAAACAAGGACTAGCGCTGTTTTTAAATTTATCAGATGCAACCAAGCTCATTTACTTTAGCAGCCATCTTGTTTAAGTTTTTTGGTAAAATTATAGGTAGAGATTCAGGGGATACCACTCTAATTTACATAAAGCCGCTGTTTATATAACAAATCTTGCTCGCAACCACAGCTGTTTAAGGTTGATTTCTGGCCTATATTGATATATAAATTAATATTTAGCCATTGATTTTGGTTGATTATTCAGTTATCTATTATATCTGACACAAATATATCACAATACTAGGCATACTGCCTGCCTAGCTTCGCTTAGGTTTTCAAAAAACTTTTGAGAATTGAATGATCAATTAATTAGTGATTGGCTGTTATGTGGAGTACTTAGGGCCTAAGTTTAAGAAGTCTGAGTAGTTTCATGTCATGGAAACCTTGATGGAATATTTGCAAACTTATTACCCGCAAGGTTATTAGAGCTGCAAAGGCTTCCTTAATAGTATAAAGCAAATATTATATTTAATTTACCTTCGCAATAGTTTTTAGAATTTCATTACAATTCATAACTTTATTTATAACAAAATATCTATTTAAACGAATGCTATACTTTGTGATTTTTGTTTTTTCTTTAAAATAGTATAAAAATTATCTTAAAATTATTTTTAAAAAGTTACATCCCCTGAACATAGACCAAATGACGTAGTCTTTGTTTACTTTTTCGCAAACAATTGTTTATATAAGAAAATACAGCATATAACAAATCTAACGACCCTAAGAGGTTTTTCTGATGGGAAGAAAGTTTTCTTGTTACTGTTACCCTCCAGGGTCAGTCTACGACCTCACAAAATATTAGGGGGATTGTTCGTCAATTTATTTATATATATATCTCATATAAGGAGAATTACACTCTAGGTCATTTTTTAGCCCTCTAAGAGGACTTTGAGTCAAACCAACAGTTTTTTTCCATACGGCCTAGTCATCCATAGATGGGCATGCAAAAAAATAGCATATTTACAGAGGTTAAGTACCCTAAAATTTGTGTTTTTCACATAAATACAAAGATTATACAGGGAAATACGGCTGGTCAGTTTTGACCCATTACTAGATTTTCCAGGATATGGCGAGTTTTAATCTGACACCCCTAGGTACCACCTCACAAAATATCACCGGGGGGGGGGGGGGGGGGGGGTGTTTTGCAAAAGTTTTTTTCAATATATAGCTCAAATAGGGAGAATTTCACTTACGGTCATTTTTTAGCCCTCAGCGAGGGCTTTGAGTCAAACCGACAGTTTTTCCCTATGGCATTACCATTTACCTAGGTGCATGCCAAAAATTAGTCTGATGTACAGAGGGTAAGTAACCTAAAATCTTTGTTGAAATTACCCTCTGTTTTTCACATAAAATACAAAGATTATATAGGGAAATACAACTAGTCAGTTTTGACCCATTTCTAGATTTTTCCCGGATGTGGCGAGTTTTTTCTGACATCCCTAGGCGTCTTTCTACAACCTCACAAAATATCAAGGGGGGGGGGGGGGGGGGTCGGTCGGAAAAAGTTTTTTCCGTAATATAGCTCATATAAGCGCCTGTCAGTCAAGGTCAGTTTTGACCCCCTCTTCGTGAACTTGTTGGCTAACCGGCACCGACCCTGTATTCTATTGCCCCAAGGCAGGAACCTACCGAAATTTGAAGCGCCTGCGGTGTCAGGAAGTGCCCTATCGGGCATCCGAGCACTTTGCTGGATATATATTAGATACTTCTATTAAAGCCGTAACAATGAGGCAACTTAGGTACGCAACTTATTTTCACATTTCTAGTCTCGGCCGATTTTACGCACATATATTACCCTATAGCCCTATTGCCTATTACTATTGATTGATATAGGCCTAGGCCTATTTAATTTAAAATTTAGCCATTGTTTTCGTTTTATTATTCAGTTATCGATAAGTAGGCTATTGACTAATCTATAGATTCTATAGAAATATCTGACTCAAATTTGAAATATCACAATATAGGTAGCAAGGTAGATAGATCTAGTGAATAAACTAGATCTATAAGCCTAATCTAGGTCTAGGCCTATATTTTTTTATTTATACTTGTAGGCCTAGATCTATATAATATAGAATCTATAGGGCCTATAAAAGTATAAAGTAAGCCTAAAACAAACAACGAGGCAACTTTTTAACACATTACAGTTACACTTATAGATCTAGAACAGGGGTCGGTAACCTTTTGAAGCGGAAGAGCCAAAAGTTACAACTTCCAAAATTTCCCAGGTTTTAAAGAGCCACTAACATTTTTTTATTTAAAATATTTTATTTATTTATTAAGATTATTAGTATTTGTGCAAGGAGCTGGAGAGCCGCATCTTGATATCAAAAGAGCCGCATGCGGCTCGCGAGCCGCAGGTTGCCGACCCCTGATCTAGAAGAATTCTAGATTCTAGTACTACTAGATCTAGATCTAGTAGTAGGGCCTATAAGATCTAGATTCTAATCTAAGATTAGGCATTCCGACTTCCGCTGTTTCGATTCGGTATTCAACATCCGGACTTTTCGATGCAGTCTTTATAAAAACTCGCCCTTTTCCGAAGAATGCCGAATCTCACTGTTGGAATCGAGTTTTTAGAAATATTCGATATAGATATTCTAGTGTAGTCGTATTATATGTTTCAATTAGAAAATTACCGCCATTATGACAATCTTTAAGCCGAAATCGATCGCACGATTCTAATGAGTTTATCTCGCGAACATGTCCCGTACGGTGCTGTCACATTTTAAATAAGTTTACGTATTAAACCCTTTATAAGTGTCTTGCCATTAGTTGTAAGTGTCCATTAAATAAACAAATATTATTATAATAACGGTTTTATGGCACTTACTACTTCTGCTTACGAGTTATCATACATGTCAAATCCCCGAGCTAGCGCTTCGGCCTTGACAACGCCATGGCGTCGGTTTAGCACCGCATTACCTATTATCGATAAAATACGCGCACTAATGCCAATGACGTAGTTTTCGAAGTTGGAAAGAATTTAAATTGTGGGTGGCACTGTTAAAACTAGATAAAATACGTTGATCAAGTTATCTATTAAAACCGACAGGCAAGAATCTTAGGCTTACATTAAATAGTGTTAAGCATTTCACACATACCTACTTACTTAGATTTAAGGCATTTTAAGGCTAATACTAATAGCCTTTAAATATACTATTATACTTTATACTATAAATAAGTTATAGGCCTATTTCTTAGTATAACTAATGCTATATACTATATGTATCGATTGATAAAGTAAGTCTGGGCCTATTATTGGTTATGATAAGCAAAGAAGCTTGGTGATAAACTTATTTAATTATTTGTAATAATTATGCTTATGACATTAGTAAATAATTAACAAAAGGTGCAGCAATTGACATGGAGGGGGGGGGGGGGACTAATTAATAAGGCAGTGAATTTAGAATGACATGAAAAAGGCATGATAATTATTATTCATAATAATTTAGGATACAATTTTTACATTTTATAATAAAAAGTAACAAAAAACAAATAACAACAAACAATACAGATTTCAATCACTGCATGTTGCCAATATATATATTCATATAAGCAGATAGACAGGGAAGCTGTAACTTCTGATTTGGTACAAATTAACACTTAGCTTAATAAACTTTTACAAGAATTTAAGGTTTTTCTATTGATTAGTAATTTAGTTGTACCAAAATATCAATAGGGTCTTATAAAGGCCCTAGTATATTAAAGTAGTTTCCCTTTTGGACCTGTCAATCCATCATCCATAAAGCAGCTGAAGTAGAGTTTATCTGTTTCTTGACCCATGCACATGAAGTGATGGTGTGGTTAGCTCTCTGCCAAGCTATCTTTACTTTCCCTTGTGTCAGGTACTCATCTGAGCTTGGTGGATGCTGCACGTTGCACAGACAGACTCGTCTGAGCTTAAGACTTGCATGTTGGTAGTTGGGTGCTTTAACACACCATCCCTAGTTTTATTTTTCAGCATTCTTCTTATTACATGCTTCAGTATCAATAACCAAAATGTATCCTATCTATTATAGTAACATTCTGGACATACGTCCGTTGCAGTCACTATAATTACTATAAAAGGGTGCAACACCCTTTCAAAAATTCATAGGACTTTTTAATTATATGCAGTCATACTTAATATAATTTTTTTCTATATTTCTATTGCCCCCACCCTCTAGCAAAGTTTCAATTTTAATATTAAAAAAAAAACATAGACTTTCAGTCTGCATATTGACCTATATAGAACAGCACCCCTCACTTTAATTTGGCTTGATTAGTTCTAATTATCCTTCATCAAATTTTGATTTTACTTTCATATTTCTATTGCCCACACTCTCTAGCACTAATGTGCAAAGTTTTATAATTATATCTCGAATAGCAGCAGTGGTATGCAAGCCTAAAGCCAATCACACAATTAAATCCGACGTTACAGTGATATATAACAGGCTTAATACATAACTTTAAAAATTCATATAAAAAAAACTATTAGGCCTAGAATGATAAATTTGGTATTTTTTTCAATGGGGTATATTATAGGATTAATCTGTGTACATTTTATCATTCTATGGTAATTAGGAAAAATATCCCAACATTCCTAATCTAAGATTCTAAATCTAGTCTAGCTAGATTCTCTAGATCTACTCAGCCGATTTTACTTTTTTAATTTTTACGCAATTTAAAATCTTACAGTTTAACTTAAAGTTTAAAGTCACAAATTGGGGGACTTTGGGCCTAAATAAAGTCTTGAAACGATAGATTGACTTTCAAAGTGTTGATAGATTTCTTTTTTTTTAATCTGTTTACATAAAAATTTGCTTTTGTAGTTGTTTCCCTTAAGCCTTCTTGGTTATATTACTTCATACCGCGTGTTTTTAGGCTAGACTTTTGAGTAGACTAGACTAGACAAAACCCGCCAAAAGTTAATTTTATCTGGAAACAATTTCTCCATAGCACCTGTAATTAACTTAGCGTTCACAACTAAAGTTTAGATCTAGATAGATCTAAATGTTATAGAAATTATATAGATCTAGATCTAGTACATTTTAGAAAACAAACATGTCATGACCTTTGACTTGGAATGTCTTGCTTTAGTCTAGATTACAACAAAAATGGATGAGTAAGCTCTAATCAAACTAAAATAACGCGGGAGTGATCTCCCCTAAACTTCTTGTATAAAATTACAGGCAGTGTTTTTTCCACGTTTTTCTCCGGGGGTACACTTGAAATTTTTTTGGGGGCGGACTCAAATTTCCAAAGAGATGCCTGGAAGAAACTCTGATTACAGGGGATGCAACTAGGGATACAGACATGATTTTTAATCAATTTTATATACTTAAACTTAAAAAAATCATTAAAAAACGCTTTAAAAACAAGCTTTTATGTAATAATGCACTAAAAAGTAGAAAATAAATTATACAACACTATCTAAATAACTATAAAGAAAAGCGGAGGTCGTTTCCAAAATATTAGTAAAGGTATTCAATAGATGCTAAAGTCATATAGGGTTAGGTTAGTATTAGTTTCATGGTCAGGCTTAAACTAGTTCTTGGGTTTGGGTTAAGTTTTAGGCTGAGGCAGTGGCGTAGCCAGGATCGTCTAATGGGGGAGGGGGTTCAAATATTTTCCCGCATTATAAATGTATATATCAGAGGCGTAGCGTCCCTCCCCGGCCCAGTGTTCAGTGTTTCTTCCAGACTTTTTTCTCCGGGGGGGCACTTGAAATCTTCGGGGGGGGCGGTAAACTTTCTTCGGGGGGGCGGACACTGTTAAAAGTATATATTTTCTATATAAATTATATAAATTTCATTTCGTTCGGGGGGGCGGTAAAAATTTTTCGGGGGGGCTTCGCCCCCCCGAAGAGATGCCTGGAAGAAACTCTGCCAGTGTTTCTTCCAGACTTTTTTCTATGGGGGGGGGGGGGCACTTGAAATTTTCGGGGGGGGGGGGGGGGGTAGACTTTCTTGAAGGGGGGGGGGGGCGGACACTGTTAAAAGTATATATTTTCTATATAAATTATATAAATTTCATTTCGTTCGGGGGGGGGGGGGGGAGGACACTGTTAAAAGTATATTATTTTCTATATAAATTATATAAATTTCATTCGGTTCGGGGGGGGGGGCTTCGCCCCCGCCCCGAAAAAAAGCCTGGAAGAAACTCTGCCCCGGCCCCCGAGGACAAACTTTTGATTTGCACCCCGGGGGGTAATTGACTTGACAGAGGGTTATTGCTTCGTAGTAATGACGGGGTGGGGGGGGGGGGAATGTCCGAGGGTAATTGACGGGGGGGGGGGGGTAATTTCCTAGACCCGTTTAGTACACATATTTTCAATTTTGGTTGTACCATATAGAGAAGCACATTTGATGGTAACATAGACTTTGGAAGCCTTCGAGCCCAGTGGCGTAGCGAGGATTTTCGGGCCCCTATGCAAAAATTATAATTGGGCCCCTCACGTTAAGGGGTCATCCATAAATGACGTCACGCTTTTTTAAACGATTTTTACCTCCCCCCCTCCCCTCCGTCACACATCGTCACAAAAAGCCAGACCTCACCCCTAAAATGACGTCACACCTCAGCATATCACGCCCCCCCCCCCTCAAAATTGCAGTTGAATTTTTCTTAAAACATCGATGTTTTTCCAAAATCTTGTCTGAACTCTGTCA